ATTTGGATACAAAGTAACTAGTTTAAAACCATACTTTAATGGAAAATCAAGTCATTCTGACTAGGGAAGAGAACCCTCAACAGTTTTGGCTTTTTTATAATGTTAAAAGGGACTTACGATCTAACAATCCGCCTGGTGGTAAATGGCTACTTTTAATGGGCACCTTTTTTTTTATAGGATAGGGTGACAAACGAGCACACAGTCCACCTGATGGTAAGTGGTTACTGTGACCCATAGACATCTACATCTATCCTCAATAAAGACTCAAGATGCAGATGCGTTGTCACCCGTGAGGAGTAAGATGGAATGCCTCTTTGTCAGTAAAAAGGGTCTCCTGTTCTCTACACTCACCATACGAAACACAGCAGCGTTAAGCTGCCATTTTACGCTGGTTTTCTGTGAGAGCGTGGTCCTTCCCCGGTCGAGCCGACCCATTCGTGCTACAACTATACCACTAATACAGCTGCAGCATGGCTCTACCACGTAAACCTGCCACTAACTTCATACAGGACTAAGATGAAATATCTGGTAGTCTAACTATACTCGCTTAAGGGTGAAATAGTTTCCATATAGATACTTACTTACTTACTTATCTTCACGCACAATCCCTGACGGGGTAGCCAGAGAGAACAGATCGCCAAGTGTCACGATCCTTACATACCACTTTCGCTTCTTTCAGATTCATTATCTTCTTCATACATGCACGTCTAGGTATCCGAGTACTCTTGACCCTACCCTCTTCGAGCAATTTGCTCACATGGTCTTCGAAAGTTAGTCTCGGTCTACCTCGACACCTTTTAATATTAACTTTCGCGCTATATATTTTCTTCACCATTCGGTCTTCACTCATTCGCTCAACGTGCCCAAACCACCGAAGAATGCCCTTATCAATTTTTCTGATAAGGTCATCTTTCAAACCTGCCATATTGCGAATCTCATCGTTTCGCTTTCGGTCGGCCATGGTAACGCAGCACATTTTACGAAGAGATCGCATCTCCACTGCATTCAACTTGCTTTTATGCTTCTTCTGGCATCTCCAGGTTTCGCTGCCATATTACAAAGTCGGTACCAACACTGCGTTATGTATTGCAAGGCGTGCACTGTTCACTACGCCTTGCCTTTTGACTAACGCAGTCAGGGCACCATTGACTTTGTACCCGGCAGCGACACGCCTGTCCACATCTAAATCACATCTTCCATCCCGGCTAAAAGCACTCCCCAAGTATACAATTTCATTTACCTGTTCTAGACATTCCTGATTTACCCATATTTCACACTTCGTTCTCTCTTCGTCCCTTTCAAATACCAGAACCTTAGTTTTATTAGCATTCAAACGGAGACCTTTAATTTCACATTCCTCTTTCATACACGTGACTGATGCCTGCAATTCTGCCTCTGATGGTGCAATAAGCACTGCATCATCAGCATACAGCAGACAATTTACTTTTATGTCACCCAATTTCACACCCAAACAGCTATCTTTCAGCTTCTGTAAACAGCTGTCGAGATACAGTATGAACAGCCAGGAAGACATGACACAACCTTGTTTTACGCCCGTTTGGACGCTAAACATGGGTGACAGGTCATGCCCTACCCGCACATAGGCTTTACAGTCACAGTAAAGAGACTGCACAGCCCTTAGCAATCGACCATCCACACCATACCCCGGCAACAGTTCCCACATTTTCTTCCTTACAACCTTATCAAATGCTTTCTCAAGATCCACAAAAGCACAGAAAATCTTCTGGTTAACAGCCAGAAGCTTCTCCGTGATCATGCGGAGAGAAAACATTTGATCCGTGCATCCTTTTCCAGGTCTAAATCCGCATTGTGCCTCCCATAGAAATCTTTCCGATTTCTCTTGCATCCTACGTGTCAAAACCTTCGAGTAAACTTTACTTGCTAAACTGGTCAAGCTGATCGCCCGATAGCACCCGCAGTCAAAATGTGAACCTTTACCTTTATATAAAGGCACAATGACTGCGGATCGCCAATCATCCGGGACATCCCCCGTCCGCCAGCACAAATTGCACAGCAGATGAAAGCTGTCCCAGACGCGAGGCCCACCATACTTGACCATTTCAGCAGTAACTCTGTCTAGTCCCGCAGCCTTACCACATTTCAAACTTCGAATCGCACGTTCAATCTCTTTCATACTGATGACCTCAGTGTCATCGAGGTCCGGGTCTGGCGTACCAGTCACGGCGTCATCCCCGGATCTCTCACTAAGATCATCACACGCATACATTTCTCTATAAAGTTCGCTCCATCGCTGATATATGCATTCGCATATAGATAGATAGAGTATTTTTATTTCATCTTAATCCAAACTGAACTTATCAGTGAATACACTGTTTGTTGGCAGCAAATAGCTAAGAGAGTGGGTATCTACCAAGAGGCGGAAAATGAGCCTTCAATGAACAGCCACAAAAATCATCTTAAGCCATTATGGCGTGATATGGGACAAAAATGCATACAGCTACCGTGCAATTTTGCGACCATCTTTTTTATTCTTATAGTTCCCTAAAAAACGGCCTGTTACTTGATTTTTGATAATCAGAGCCGTAGCAAAGGGAGGTCTCGGGCGGCAGATTATGGGAGTGACGTTTACCATGAAAGTTTTGAAAAATCTAAAACATCTTTGATTAAAGTGACCTGTTTAAAATATCGAACTTTGTAGCATTGGAAGTTCCAAAAAAATTACATACGTATATTGTTTTATTCATTTTTAAATAATATAAAAAAAGCCTATAAAGAAGGGAGGGAAGGTTGCATTGCATTGCTACGACACTGACATTCATTTTAAGGCAGTTGGAGTAATGAAATTGATATATAAACGAGGTATAATAATATATTATCTCGCAGCTGTCAATCGTGAAATTAAATTCTTGACAAGGATGTATGAGCTATTAATTACATAAATAAATATTATAATATAAATCTTAACTATAATTTAATAATTTTAAATTATAGCTCAGTGATTATAGGTAACTAAGATGGTGACTTGTAACTCAGGTTTTAATTACCTACCTCAGTCACCAGCGATCCACAACCATTTTTGTTATAATAACTAAAGACTAAATATAATAAGTTTAGTGTTAAGACAATTTTGTGTTGAGAAAAATAAATAAATACTTAATTAAATTGAAACACCATTGTCTTCCATACCCACAGAATAAAATATCATTAACAATGTATAATTAGCACGTGTAAAAGATCACATTAAGATCTTGTAAAATAACATTTAATAAATGAAATAAGCCAAATACCTATGTCGACAAACATTATTATAACGAATTCATTGTACATGTTATAGCGCCTCTTTTCCTTAGTAGGTACATAGTTCTTGCGTTTGAAGGTTATGTGAAGCATACCAATCAAAGTCGTAAAGTGGTTTCGTCACAGAATTACGCAATAGTATTTTCATTTGGTTAAGCTTATTGTGTTATTGAAAATTGAAAAGTACAAAGACATTAACTGTTAGGTTCATTGTATGCTATTTGTAGCTATTCAAAGTTAAAGCCTGGATTCTCTCACACGATCACCACGTGGTGATGGTGTGAGAGTATTTAGTACTTAGTTTAATATTTACTATAGTGTATTTTAACTAATGTCCCGTGTGTGATGTGTACTAACTTATTTAGATACTAGCGATCCGGCCAGACTTCGCACGGGTGATTTCTGGGTCTCGACAACAACGCCACTCACCGGGTCCCAAAAATCTAGGGACCCATTCAAAGACATACAAAAAATTTGTATGTGCGCAGGAATTGCATAATTTAATTTCTCCCTCTCCCTTCCACCATCGGACAACCAGACGTTCGGCCAGTCTGCACCCTTTCGTTGTTGACTTACCACGCATTCGAATGACGTCGTTGATCATGCGTACAGCAAAGGAGTGGAATAAGTTGCCAGCATCTGTCTTTCCATCCGATTACGTATTACAGCTGCTTTTATTAAGTCAGTGCGCTTCACCATCTTAGGCTATATCACCACTTACCATCAGGTAGGATCGTAGATAAGTGCTGGCTTAGTAGAATATTTTAAAAAAAATCATCAAATTCGGTCGAGCCGTTTTTGAGATTTAAGACACAGAATAAATAATAGTACAGGAAGTTTTAGCGAGACAAACGGACAGCAATTGATTTTTATGTATAGATATAACATATATAACTCATCGGGTTTTTGGAAAGTAAACGCATACGCGTGTACAGTCCAATGTTGGACATGGGTCTCAGATATTAATGTGGTGTGGATTTTTCGTAATAGTGGGGCATAATTGGGTCCTGGCAAGTGGGTTAGTAAAGCTGTACCTGATGTCTCGCACTTTTGACGCTGGTTCCCATCGCCCATTTGGATACTTTACATCTGCTTTATGAACGAGACGCTTAGATTACCACCACTTAACGAAGACCAGAAAATATTTGAGTGTATGTCGCTTTTTTTTTTTTTTTTATAGGATAAGGGTGACAAACGAGCACACAGTCCACCTGATGGTAAGTGGTTGCTGCGGCCCATAGACATCTACATCTATCCTCGTTTGCGAATCAAAATGCAGATGCGTTGTCACCCGTGAGGACTAAGATGGAATGCCTCATTTCCAGTAAAAAGGGCCTCCGGCCACCTGCACTCACCAAACGAAACGCAGAGGTAAACCTCTACTTCACGCTGGTATTCTGTGAGGTCGTGGTACCACCCCGGTTCGAGCCGGCCCATCCGTGCGACAGCAAAAGCTGCCGCGTGGCTCTACCACTGTTAAACTTTTTACGACACCCACGGGATGACATGAGGCAATATATAATCACCTGCCACCACAAGGCAGGATAACTTATCATTGAAATAAATGTGCATTTTATATATCGGCCGGCTTGCATATATGTACCTACTTGTGGAATTTTTATTAAAACATCATCTTTTAATAATTTTAACAAAGAAAAATCTATTATTTTGTTTTTAAACTTAATAAACAACAATATAAATGTATTAATTTTTAACTACAGGTGAATCGGTCCGCTGTTGGACTTGCTCGTCGGATTTGAACCCGCTGTGTAACGACCCGTTCCTTGCCGGCCAGACAGAAAACTCCTACCTGTTCCGTCTAGAGAACTGCGATGCTACCTCTGCAGTGTCTTACCCTTACCTGACATCATCAGTTTCCGCTTGCAAGAAACAGAAGAAATTCGGTAAGGATATTTTGGTTCTCTATCTATGTACCAAATGTAATAATAAGTTAATTCTTCTTCATTCTTCATTACTATTTTATAACTTTATTCTCAAATCGTAATAATTAAGGCCCTGGTCAGGTAAGATTTTTTGGAGGCAAATGCTTTTATTTCGTACCTAATCATAGAGATAGGCAAAAGTAAAATGACTAGAATAAAAACCAACAGTTACAATGTAGTTATGGCTTATTTAAGCTTAACGAAAATAGTATACAACCAATGCATTAAATAATGCAATAAATAAGTAGTTAACATTTTAATGATATGGTTGCCCACAAAAAAAGTTTTATTAGATTTGCATCGGTTGATGTTTCATGATGAGTGTGACACAAAGACATCTAAGTAGTTAGTATACCTATATATTTAAATCTCTTTGGTATGACAGAATGTTGTACCGAAATGTTTGACTAACTTCAAAAAATGTATGATATGTTTTAAGTGTATGAGTTGGCCGATCCTAGTTCAAAATTAAAAGTTCAAAAATATAACTTTAAAATACTGTTGCGCCACTACTAATGTCTTGTACATGGCAACACTAGTTACACTAGCGCCATCTAGTGTCGAGTAAAAGAAAGTGTTGCGCGCCACTATTAATGTCTTGTACATGGCAACACTAATTACACTAGCGCCCTCTAGTGTCGAGTAGCAGAACTAGGAGAGTCGATATCCTTCCAGAAATTTCGGGACCGATATGTACTCGAACATTCTAGATGTCGCTACAGTAGAAGGTTCTGGAAACTATCTGAGGCCCTATATAAGGCCGGTATAGACCACGACCGGGGCAGTATTTAATTGGCGATACAAGAGAATACTTCGAAGCGAAATATCGGCGAACTGTGTTTTATTATTAGTGTGATTTTAAATTGTAATTAGTGTTGTGTAATTAAAGTGTCAATTTTGGTAATTCAATCGGCAGTTTTTAATTGTCTCGAACCCCAAGCTCGTAACAATTGGTGTCAGAAGTGGGATCAAATATGCCGATTTTACCTAAAGACGACACGGAGGGTATCCGTACCCAAAGTCAACGCCAACAGGAGACGGACCAGAGACGATTTGGTAATGCAACGCCGTAATCGTCGGAGGGCCAGCTGCTAACCACGGAGGCCGGCCCGTTAGCAGCTCCTGCATCTGCAGCACCTGACTTAGGTGCTCTGATGATGATGCTGCAGGAACAGGCCCGCCGACAGGAGGAACAGACCCGTCGGTTGGAAGAGCAGCTGCAGCGCGGTATGGAGGAACAGACGCTCCTCAGGAAGGACCTTCACGCTACCTTCGGGAAAGAGATAAAGGAGGTGAAGGATGGGGTTGCTCAACATGACAACCGCCTGTCGGAAGCTGAAACCCGAATCGACCAAGTGAACAATCGGGTTGACAACGTGATGGCTGATGTGAAGAAAACGCTGGACGACCTCAAACTTGGGGATGGAATTACAGCTCCCGTGGTAGCTACAACACCTTCTCTACGTGGATTCAAAGTGCCGCCGTTCGACGGGAGTTCTTCCTGGTCGGCCTACAAAATCCAGTTCGAGGCTGTCATGAAAGCGAACGGCTGGAATAAAAGTCAGGCCAAAACTGCTCTCACCCTAGGCCTACGCGACCAGGCCTTAACTGTTTTGGAAGCGCTCGGTAAGGAAGTGACTTACGAGCAGCTCCTTGAGGCATTGGAGGCGAGATATGGCGATGCTCACCTGGAACACGTCTTTCGTGCGCAGCTCAAAGATCGCGTGCAACGCAGTAACGAAAACCTGCAGCAGTGGGCCCTTGAGGTGGAGAAGCTTATTCGAAAAGCGTACCAGTCTGTACCTGCGCTCATTGTAGGGAACCTGGTGCAGACATTCATCGACGGCATCCGCGACCTTGAAGTCAGAGCTGCTGTGAGGCTCGGGCACCACGAGACGCTTAAGGACGCCTTGACCCATGCACTGGAGGTGGAAGCCGTGCGGCAGGATCATCGTTCCCACCGCGTCAGGGAGGTTGCAGGAGCTACAGTTCAGGACCGCAATAAGGGCTACAACCCTAGGTGCTACGGCTGTGGGGAAAGGGGCCATCTTCGATCCAGCTGCCCTAAACGAACTGTACAAAGGGAAGGTGATCGATCTCGAGAGGGTAGTGCGGATAATAGCACCGCCCAGCAGCAGCAGGGAAACGAGTAAAAGCCAGGACTGCGGGGCGGGTGCTGGCTGATGTTAAAAGAGCCCCAAGGATTTCGATCTCACAAACCCATGATGGGAACAGCCTAATCATCAAAGGCGAAGTCAACGGAACGCCGTGTAAACTGACCATAGACACTGGAGCCTCTCGCACGGTTGTCAGTTCCCAACTTATAAGTCGGTTCCTTGGGGACTCTGCATACAACCGAGAACGCATTAATTTGGTGACAGCCACCGGTCAGCGCATACCCGTCCGTGGAGAGAAGGAGATGGAGTTGAAGCTAGGCAACATGATCTACCTGCATAATGTCATCGTGGCTGATATAATGGACGACTGCATCCTGGGCCTAGACTTTATGAGGAAGAATTGTTGTGAGATCGACGTTAAGCAAGGTGTTTTGAAATGTGGACAAGAGGAACTTTTCGTGGAAGGGGCGATACCAGGGAATGTGTACAGCCTTAAGAAGATTGTTCTTCCGCCGAGATCGGAAACGATTGTGCCGGTTAGACTTCCACGGAATCCTAGGCAAACTCTTCGTTGTGTACTCGTGGAAAGGGTAGACAATGACCTTCCATGGAAAGTGGCTCGAACCTTGGTCAGAACCGCCGACATCTCAGGTGTACGTGTGTTGAACCTTTGTGATCAGGAACAGATTATAGAAAAAGGCACATTGATTGGTACTAGTGAGGAAGTGGATTGGTTGCGTCAGTGCCAATATCTATCGACTGGGACCCCCAGCAAGGATGGACAAACTAGAGTGACCACACTTTTAGAAGACTGTCGCAGCGTTCTCTCCCCTAATGAAACGGTCAAAGCGAAGAAGTTGTTACTCAAGTACGCCAATGTTTTCTCGTCAAACGAAGCTGACATAGGAAAGACTGGCTTAGTTCAACACAAAATAAACACAGGACAAGAATTGCCTATTCGTCAGCGGCCAAGAAGATTGCCTGTAGCACGTGAAAAGGAAGTGGAAACCATGATTGAGGGAATGGTGAAGGATGGTGTTATTGAACCTTCATCTAGTCCATGGTGTTCACCTGTGGTGCTGGTAAAGAAGAAGGACGGCAGCATGCGGTTTTGTGTTGACTACCGCCGCCTGAACGACGTTACGAAGAAGGACAACTATCCCTTGCCAAGAATTGATGACACGCTGGACATGCTTACAGGCATAAAGTGGTTTAGTACGCTGGATCTGAAAAGTGGCTACTGGCAGGTTGAAATTGACCCTAAGGACAAGGAGAAAACTGCATTCTCCACAGGAAAGGGTCTGTGGCAATTTAAAGTCATGCCGTTTGGATTGTGCAATGCTCCAGCAACGTTTGAAAGGTTGATGGAGCTTGTACTTACCGGGCTAATTGGAGATGCCTGTCTGGTCTATTTGGATGACATCATCATCGTAGGCCGTACGTTTGAGGAACACCTTCAAAACCTGGAACGCGTGCTCTTGAAGATCCAGAGTGCCAACCTCAAGTTGAGTGCAAGGAAGTGCTCACTATTCAAACGGCAAGTTAGTTTTTTGGGGTATGTAGTGTCGGAAGAAGGTATCCGCACGGATCCAGAGAAAATTGCTGCTGTCAAGGAGTGGCCGGTTCCAAAAGACAAGACACAGGTTAGAGCGTTTTTGGGTTTGTGCTCTTATTATCGGCGATTTGTGAAGAACTTTGCAGATATAGCCAAACCTCTGCACAAGCTAACCGAGGAGAAGCGACATTTCTGCTGGGATGAAAGTTGCGATATTGCATTCCAGGAGCTCAAGAACCGTCTGTGCAAAACACATATTTTGGGGTACCCTGATGCGGGCAAGGAATTCATAGTTGACACAGACGCAAGTGATATAGGACTTGGCGGTGTGTTGTCTCAACGGAATGGTGATCAAGAGATTGTGATAGCATACTTCAGCAAGTCGTTGTCAAAGCCGGAAAGGAACTATTGTGTCACAAGACGGGAATTGCTTGCTGTGGTAAAGTCCTTGCAGCATTTTAGCAAAAATCTCCTGGGGCGGAAATTCTACTTACGAACTGACCATGCTGCACTGAAATGGCTATTGCAGTTCAAAAATCCGGAAGGACAAGTTGCGAGATGGATTGAACTACTACAGGAATACGACTTTGTGATCGAACATCGCAGCGGGAAATCTCATGGCAATGTAGATGCATTATCAAGAAGACCTTGCCCTGAAGATTGCAAGCATTGTACTAGGCAAGAGGGTAAAGAAGTGGTATCTGCGAGGATATTTAGGACAGACCAGCTCAGCAATGAATGGAAGGACAGCCTACAACATGCACAGCAGGAAGATTCGGACATTAAGCCGATTCTGGAATGGATGAAGACCAGTGCACCTAAGCCCAAGTGGAGCGACGTCTCATCTATGAGTTCGAAAACACTCAGAAAACACGAACAACTTCTTACCACCCACAATCTGATGGAATGGTAGAAAGATTTAATCAGACATTGGAGAGGTACCTCTGCCTTTTTGCTAGCAAAAGTTGTGGAAAAACGGCAACGAGACTGGGACAGGCACATACAACCGTTTTTGTTGTCATAATGAAGCGCTGTTCACGAAAGTACATCAGTGACACCAGCTTGCACAAACTTTGGGAGAGAATTGCGGCTGCCTGCAGACCTAATCACCGGAATACCACCTGATGCCCCACGCAGTATAACTGATTATGCAAATGACTTGCGGAACAAAATGAATGACATTTATGAGCACGTCAGACAGACGGGCCAGCAAACGTCTGAGAAGATGAAAACACGGTATGACCGCAAAATGAACAACAAGGGGTTTGATGAAGGTTCACTAGTGTGGTTACACAATCCAGTTCGCAGCAAAGGGAAATCTCCTAAGCTTCAAGCTAAATGGGACGGACCGTACCGGATTGTGACAAGGATCAATGACGTAGCCTACCGGATACAGAAAGTTGCCAGAGGTACTCCTAAGATTGTCCATGTGGATCGACTGGCGCGTTATTATGGGGACAATAATGCTCGGTACGAGCATTATTAGGAGGGGGCAGTGTTGCGCGCCACTATTAATGTCTTGTACATGGCAACACTAGTTACACTAGCGCCCTCTAGTGTCGAGTAAAAGAAAGTATTGCACGCCACTATTAATGTCTTGTACATGGCAACACTAGTTACACTAGCGCCCTCTAGTGTCGAGTAGCAGAACTAGGAGAGTCGATATCCTTCCAGAAATTTCGGGACCGATATGTACTCGAACATTCTAGATGTCGCTACAGTAGAAGGTTCTGGAAACTATCTGAGGCCCTATATAAGGCCGGTATAGACCACGACCGGGGCAGTATTTAATTGGCGATACAAGAGAATACTTCGAAGCGAAATAACGGCGAACTGTGTTTTATTATTAGTGTGATTTTAGATTGTAATTAGTGTTGTGTAATTAAAGTGTCAATTTTAGTAATTCAATCGGCAGTTTTTAATTGTCTCGAATCCCAAGCTCGTAACAATACTAACTAAAATACACTTTTATTTATACATTTAATAAGTAGATTTTTTATTTACTACTACAATACAATAGTCTCGAGTTTTTGCACTATTACCTACATCCTACGATGGACCACGTAGAAATATACGAATTATACGAAGCGATCTATCTTAAATAAATATCAACTCTTAATTTAAATCTCATGGAAATTTTAAAAAGACCTGCTTTTAACGCTGCGAATAATAAGAATTATGTTTATTATAATTAGAATTTATCGTGATAGTCTTCTAGTGAACTGATTATTTTCGAATATTATAAAACTGTGTTATTCTCTTTATAGTATTTTATTGTTCGATTATATAATTGCGTAATATATATATTTTGCTGAACTAATTAGATGATTACATGAGAAAGCATTTTCGAGGTCAGTTTCATTAGAATTGGATAGTTATTATCCAATTATTGTCACACACACCTTATATTGTGTGATTATGTTCCTGACCCATTAACATACTATTTTACGAGGGTGACACTAAAAGTTCTTAAAAAATCAAAAACTGAACAAACTAGCGTATTATTAGTTTTATTATATCTTTTCAAAATAGACATCAATACATCGCTGCATCCGATGGTACCACTGCGAAAAGCACTTTGCCCACTCGTCTTTAGGGGTCTCTTCGTCGGCATTTTGAAACGCAGCCACTGATTCCTCGGCGTCCATAAAACGTTTTACTCGAAGTTTTTCTTTTATTTTCGGAAATAAATAAAAATCGCAAGATGTGAGATCGGGGCTATAGGGCGGGTGACCCAGTAATTCCTCGTCTGACGTCGCCTGTATGCGTAATGGTTGCGTAATGACCTGTCCTTCTGAAGAACGAGGATACCATCTTTTTTCCCACGCCTCTCTTCCCTTTAGTTGGCAACTGCTCGAAAGGAAACCACACTGTCTCTTAGTTTTAGGATCATAACAATAAATCCAGCTTTCGTCACCCGTAAGTATGTCGAACACAGCATTTGAGTCACCTCCGTTAAATATTTGAACCATTTCACGACACCAATCAACACGACGGAGTTTTTGGGCCTTTGTCAAATTATTAGGTATCCACCGGGCACAAAGCTCCCTGACCGCTAAATGTTTCATGGAGGATTTTGTGCACTTGACTCATACCGATGCCTAAGCTTGTCCGAATCTGCTGATAAGTCACTCTTTTATCAGTCTCTATCATACGCCGCACAACACTGATGATATCTTCAGTCGTCGCCGTAGAAGGCCGTCTCTCACGCAGATCATCGGTGAGATTAGTGCTACCACGCTTAAACTCATTAAACCAGTTGTAAACAGTGGCACGAGATGGGGCTTCATCGTGAAGGGTCAATCGAAGTCTATCATAACTTTCTTGTTGACTTAAATCTGGCGTTAAATTCATACTGACGTGACACAGACAATTTCCAATTTGCCGCCAAATGGTAAACAAATGACTAATTAATAAAATACATACTTGTGTATGTAATAATATAGGCAAAGAGTTCCATTTTCAAAATTTGAACTTATTTTTTTATTATATCGTTACAAGTGGAAAGTTCTAAAAACTTTCAGTGTCGTCCTCATAAAAGTAATGTCTATTAGTTTGAATTAATATGTAATTTATAATTTATGAATATGTACATATTTTCCTATGAATGTATAAGGTATTCTTATAATGCAGAGAAATAATCTAAGTAATCCTTACGTAAATATTTATTGTACAAAGATCAGTATGCAAGTATGTAACTTGTAAAAAGAAATAATAATCATCAAACTATCAATTATAACAAAAAAAAACCACTGTTAAACACTCGTGGTAGAGCCACGCTGCTAATATGTTATGTTTGTAGCAAGAATAGGTTGGCTCGACCAAGGAAGACCTCGCTCACACAGTAGGATACCAGCGTAAAATAGCAGCTCAATGCTGCTGTGTTTCGTATGATGAGTGTAGAGAACCGAAAACAAACACTTTTTACTGAAAATGAGGCAATGCTTCCTAGACCTCACAGGTTTGACTACTAACGCCTGAATTTTCCTTCTTTTTCTTCATCTCCAGACCATGTAAGTCCATTGACGAATACAGGCTCCAATGAAGAATCATAATCGCCAATCTTGAACTGGCGAATGACGACCTGGGAATGGCGAATGGCGATCATGGTTTTATCATACCAATAATTCTAAATAAGATCGTGATAAATAAACAACATATTGTTAAGGACATTGTAATGAGGAGATAACTCTTATTCTGCACTTACAAGTCCCCTGGCTACTGATATTTTTGGGCCTTCGACATTTTATTATTATCATCATTACAGCCCTTCAAGTCCACTGCTGAACATAGGCCTCCCCCAAGGAATGCCACAAAACACGATCCTGAGCCACCTGCATGTCTTACCAGGTCGTCACTCTATCTAGTGGGGGGACGCCCTACACTTCGTCCGCCGATACGAGGCCGCCACTCGAGAACCTTTTCTCTCCATTGGTTGTCGGTTCTTCAAGCTATATGGCCGGCCCATTGCCACTTCAGCTTACTAATTTTATTATCATTCAGTTATAATTGTAAATGAAACTATAACAGGATTTAAAAAAAAAAGTACCCCCAGAGATTTTTGGCGGTTCTTCTCTGCAAGTCTTCTTTTTACGAACCAATATTACTAAAACTCAAATTAAATAAAAAGTTTTGACTATGATAGTACCTACCAGACGTCTCACAACATTGACGCTGCGCCCCATTACCGGTCTAGTTTACGTCTGGCGTAAACAGTTAGCAGTAGTTATACCGCCATTTGTCAGGCATTAGATCTTTTAGGATTTTTTTATAGAGTAATTGTGACAAACGGGCATACAGTCCACTTGGTTGTTAATAGATGATGTGCCTATAGACATATACATCCATTCGTGGGGACTACGATGGAACGCCTCGTTTCCAGTAAAAAGGGTCTTCGGCTGTCTACACTCGCTATATGTAACAGAGCAGCATTAAGCTGCTATTTTTACGCTGTTATTCTGTGACCATATCCCATAGTCGCCTTTTTCGACACCCACGGGATAAAATTAGGTGATGATTTTTTTGCGCTGTCACCACCAAGACAGGTCATCTAAAATTTATAAACATCGCTTGTTGACTATTTCTAATTGCAAAATTATGTATTATAATAAAAATTAATTTTTTATCACTATAGAACACTTTGTATATTTATTTTAATATTACAGGCATATTATATTTTAATAATATTTTATAACTAAATATAGAAAGAGGCGTTGAGCCTGGAATTGTGTCGTGTCAAGAAAACAAAATTGAGAAAAACAGACTATATTTTACGTTTTTAAGTTTAATATTAAACGTCACTATTTCAGTCAGCTCAGTTTATTGTTAAATATTTGAATCAAATATCATCAATAACTTCATTAATTAATATAATACTCGTATTATCGATTGTTATAACTTCGAGTGCAGTGATGTCCGTACGAAGAAAACTATGAAAACTCCCTTTAGCAATCTTATGTTCAGTACATTCACGCTACTAATTATTTATTTTTTTTACTTTCAGTTCGCGGTGAGATGGTTATTTCACGAGGATGTACATGGAAACGCAGAGACGACTACTCCAATACGTGCCCTAGCACATCAACCTCTTCATACAACGAAGTGACCTCGTTCTGCGAGACATGCCAATATGATGGTTGTAATGGAGCATCTGCTATTACGAAAACAATCGCTTTGCTAGTTGCACCACTAGGTCTCTTGCTCTTCAAGTAACGGTCAAACAAATAATTAGTGCTAGTGTACAAATTATTCTTAGTTATTTGGGACCATGTGAGGATTGCCAGTTAAACAACGCCCACCGCGTCAGAAATTGAGACGTAACAAAAGTTATATTCTAAATAGCACCCGTGATTTCGTCCCTAACACAAAAATTACGAAACCTTACCATATTAATTTAAACTCACCGGTCTCAGGTGTTAGTTAAAAGCCGTTAACATAATATTATTTACTTTATTATTTGATATATGTAGTGCGTATGTAATACATCCTTATCTTTTTTGTATCATCCTCTCTCGTTCTGTGGAAAAACCATAACACATAATTGTTTTAAATTACTGCCTTACTTTATCAATACTTAATTTAACTTCGAAAAACTGTACTGTCTCTATCTGTGGACTCGTGTTGTATCTTCTTTTGTAAACGTTAATTTTAGAACTTTCTTTTATCTACTAATATTGCACAGGTATAATTATAAAAATAGAAATTATACACATTAAAAATAATACTTTTAATTTTGTTTAATTTGGTTAAGGATAATAATTTTAGGTTACCTGTGTGTTAGGTTATATGTTGATTAATTGTAAATATGTTGCTCGGTAACTTTCATTTCTTGATTTTCATCGTTGTTAGCTTAAATATTTTAACGACGTATTTTTAAAATACTGATTGGTCATTGACAAACTGTAATATTAAGTACCTACGTTAAAAAACAAAAAAGTAACTGAAATCTATTATTTTTGGTGTCATGAGTACAAATTTTAAAAACTGTCGTTTTCAATAAATTTATCTAGCCATAATTGTGTTTTATTAAAAACTAGCGGCCAGTCTCGGCCTCGCACGGGTATCCAGCCGGATGACCCTTGGTGACTTGCGGGTTGCGGACGTAGTGGTCAGTTAATCTGCCGGTCTGCTGTGTGCTTCTAGATTCGATTCATATTCAATTTTTTTTTATATTTAGCCTTCGTAGTATGGTACTACAGTATAAGGAGATTGTAACGTTAACCTTACGACTTGTAAACCTAAATACCTTTTATACAACTTCTATGTTCTCGTACAACCTTTATACGTGGTAGAGCAATACTGCAGCTATATTAATAGTATAGTTGTAGCACGAATGGGTCGGCTCGACCGGGGAAGGACCACGCTCTCACAGAATACCAGCGTAAAATAGCAGCATAACACTGCTGTGTTTCGTATGGTGAGTGTAGAGAACCGGAGACCCTTTTTACTGGAAACGAGGCATTCCATCTTAGTCCTCACGGGTGACAACGCATCTGCATTTTGATTCTTAATCGAAGATAGATGTAGATGTCTATGGGCCACAGAAACCAGTTACCATCAGGTGGACTGTATACTCGTATGTTACCCTTATCCTATAAAAATTGCTGGCCTATTGCCACTTCAGCTCACTTATCCGTTAGGCTATGCCGGTCACTCTGATTCTACTGCGGATACCCTTATTTATAAGTTTATCACGCAGAGAAACCCCGAGCATAGCCCTCTCCATAGCTCGCTGAGCGACCTTGAGCTTTCTCATACGGCCAGCAGTGAAGGACCACATCTCAGATCCATAAGTCATCACTGGCAACTGGTTGTACAATCTTGTTTTCAGGTTTTGAGGTATACCTGACGAGAAGATGTGTCGTAATCTCCCAAACGATGCGCAGCCGAATTGAATCCGTTGATTGACCTCTCGGTCTTGGATTTACGGTACAGCTGCCCATAGAACCTCTCAATCTCACTCAAAATCTCAGGTGTCGCGGAAACGATGCATCCACACTCGGTATTCAGCTTTTACAGGTGTCTCATTCTGGTGACATTGGAGCCTTGGTTATGTTCGATCGCTTCTTCAATACAAGCCGTATTGAAGTTGCGTAAGTCCCGCCGCATGCATTTGGAGATATGTCTGTTCAGTTGCCTGTATGCTGTCAAATCTGTTGAAGACTGCAGCTTCATTTTACGTCTAATAGCCATGAGATTAAGTGTGTGATCGGAGAGATTTTGTGTTCTTCTGCGGCGAGTCTTGCAGAACTTAGTTCTGACCATATGGACAGTTTCCACAAGCTTGTTATTTATATTGTCCACTGCATTGTAGTTTTCTAGGCACTGAAAACGGTTTTGTAACTCGAGCTGAAAGGCTTCGGGACGCAAGGCTCTTCAACTTAACGTTTAGGTTCAGTGTGCCTCTCAGCATTCGGTGATCGCTACCAGTTTTCACCCTCGTGATTACTGAGACATCACTGAATAGTTGTCGACTTGTCGTCATAAGAAGTCAATGAAGTCAATCTAATTTTTTTCAAACCTTCGGGCGCAACCAGGTCCACTTCCTTTGGGGCCGCTTCTGGAAGAAAGACTTCATCATAAAGAGTCCCTCTTTCTCCATGAAGTTGACCAGCAACTGGGCCCTTGGGCCATCCGTTGCTCTATTACGAATTTCCCTACCTTCAGCTCACCATTCTCTCTTCTGCCTAGTTTTGCAGTTAAGTCTCCCATTAACACCGTGTAGTGGGTTTTGGAGGAATGCATGGCTTTAGAGATATCCTCAAACATTTTCTCCACCTCCTCATCGCGATGTGCCGAGGTTTGTGCGTAAGCCTGTATGACTTTCAACTGATACCGTTTGGTGATTCTGAGTAGTACAGTAGTAGAGTAGTAGTGAGTGAAAGTACGCAACCCTTGATGCCACACACAATCTTTACAAAGTTGTTAACGAGACTTGTGGACGATAAATTCGACACCTGCTTGGGACTGATGGTCGCCCTCACGGTGATAGAACAAGTTGCCGGATTCGAGGATTACCGAGTCCTCCCCCTCTCTTCGGACCTCGGGTAATCCTATAATATGCCAGCGTAACTTGTCTATCTCTTCTTCCAGCTCCAGGATCTTCTCGTCAGTCCTCAGGGTGTGTACGTTGTATGTTGCCAGGTCAAGTCGTCTTAGGTGGTAACCGGAACTCCACCGGAGATTCTTAGCACCCCCTGCGCCGCCGTTACCATGGTCGCCACCGTAGCCAGGAATAGCCAAGTCGCCGGGGACTTGGGGGCCTTCTTTTCGTAACTTTCATCATGGAGGGATATTTGCTATAGTTGCCACACTTGGCGAGCTTGTTGGCAACCGCGGATTTTTGGAACGAAGTTTCTTATCGGACGGTACGGGTTTGGCGGATAGGAGATAGGTGACAAAAAGTGTAAGATTTTTTCGTCACTACCCCTTGTGTCATAGTGTAGACGGCCTTGGCGGCGAAGTGAGATGGAATAATATCCATCTCCCTCGCACTTTTTCTTATCTTGCCATGAAAGAAATTTTTTTTCACTTGACGCTTCATTTTAATAGACGCTAGTAATTCCTTTATTTGTATTTGTTAATCAATAATATAATACCTACGTTTATCAATAATAATATACTACGCAAGGAACTTCGTTCCAACCGACTGTTCCACGACGCTCACGCATTTTTTTATTGTAATATTGCTGTTATCAGAAAGATGCTGCTGCCCATCTCCTGCCTGTTTTCTACTGTCACCTCTTACGACACCCACGGGCAGATATGGGGTAGTGAATATTCTTAACCGCCACTACACGGTATATTTCAATAAAAACTGTTCAGCCGTTTGAAGATCTTTTTGCTTCGAAGTTTTGTAATTTTTTACTTTAAGTTATTATTCTTCAGAAATGCAGTTTTCAGGAAACCCCTCTCGATGTTTTCCTTCACCGCCGAGTACCTGGTAAATTAAGAACTTAAAATTGCAATTAATAATTTTATTGGTTCTGGTGGGGATATATCTATCTACTATCATAGTAGCGAAATAAAACGGTAAATTAGAGATATTTCTCGGAATTTCAACTGGTCTTACATCGCGAAATTCGCTTAAGCCAAGGAGCGCCTAAGCAAAACTCAACATATAACGATGGGCGTAGGGGTACTCATTAAACCACTAGACAGGGATTAAAAAGATTTAAATTATGACTTTTCTGATGAACCTTATCCAGGACGAACTCCTGCAATGATTTTTGAAGTATTAAAAAGGCTTATAGAATATGTTTTTATTAATATACATTACATGTGTAATTCTTATTGAAAGTCATTTTTTACTTTACTACTGTTGGAAAAAAACCCTCTGTCCTGGGAAAAACCAGCAAGAAACTCAGCGAGACTTTTTTTTAAAATAAATTTTACAATATAAATGATTACGAACTATTTACAAAATTCATTTTAGAAACTGCTTGGAGGCGACCACCCAGGGGTTATTATCAACCATGTATTCATTTATACTATAATAATCCATTTTATGCAGTTTCAGCTTAATAAAACATTTAAACTTGGTAATAGAGAGAGCCTGTACACTTTCCGGGACCTTGTTGTAATAGCGTATACATTGCCCCAAGAATGAATTACTGACTCTGTGGAGTCGAGATACTGGCATCACTAGCTTGTGTTTGTTCCTAGTGTTTACAGAATGTATATCACTTTTTTTACTAAAACTATCTTTGTTTTTGTGAACATACATTAAATTTTCATAAATATACTGAGAGGCCAAAGGCTTGCTCCTGCAGCATCATCATCAGAGCACCGAAGTCAGGTGCTGCAGATGCAGGATCTGCTGACGGAGCGCCCTCCGTGGTCGGCAGCTGGCCCTCCGACGTCTGCGACGTTAAATCGTCTCTGGTCTGTCTCCAGCTGGCGTTGACTTCAGGTACGGATACCCTCCATGTCGTCCTTTGGTAAAATCGGCATGATTTGATCCCACTTCTGACACCAATTGTTACGAGCTTGGGGTTCGAGACAATTAAAAACTGCCGATTGAATTACCAAAATTGACACTTTAATTACACAACACTAATTACAATCTAAAACCACACTAATAATAGATTACAATCACTTTAGTTCGCAGTTATTTCGCTTCGAAGTATTCTCTTGTATCACCAATTCAATACTGCCCTGGTCGTGGTCTATACCGGCTTTATATAGGGCCTCAGACAGTTTCCAGAACCTTCTACTGTAGCGACATCTAGAATGTTCGAACACATATCGGTCCCGAAATTTCTGGAAGGATCTTGACTCTCCTAGTTCCGCTACTCGACACTAGAGGGCGCTAGTGTAACTAGTGTTGCCATGTACAAGACATTAATAGTGGCGCGCAACAGTACCATACAAATAATTAGCACTATTTTTGAATGAAAGTGATGGAAGTCTTTTTATTATGTTATTTCTAAACCTCTCCAATCGATGTTCATTTATTGGTACAAACACAACTTTCTTATTTTTCTGTTTTTTTGTGTATGTAAGGTAGTGATACCAACTGAACTTAAATTTTGAATAATTGATTTATGCATTTATGTTTAACATCTGTAAAAATGTTATCTATACAGGTCGCACTAGGCCCAAAATAGAAAGGAATCCCAGATCAACTCCACGTTACCCGGCAGTACTCTCATACATTGCACATTTTGGTTTCTACATGAGTTGACGCCGCTTCAACTTCATAATAGAGAGACAAAGTTATCATGGAAAAACTTTTTTTTATAGGATAGGGTGACAAACGAGCACACAGTCCACCTGATGGTAAATGGTTGCTGTGACCCATAGACATCCACATTTATCCTCAATAAAGAATCAAAATGCAGATGCGTCGTCACCCGTGAGGACTAAGATGGAATGCCTCTTTTCCAGTAAAATGGGCCTCCGGTTCTCTACACTCACCATACGGAACACAGCAGTGTCAAGATGCCATTTTACGCTGGTATTCTGTGAGAGCGTGGTCCTACCCCGGTCGAGCGGACCCATTCGTGCTACAACTATACTACTAATATAGCTGCAGCATGGCTTTACCACGTACAAGATTAATTTGTAGGATGTTAACTTAGTTAACATTACAAATGAATGGCTGCTGGTTGTTAAACGATAACGAAGTCTATCACGCCCTCTCGATGGGTCGCTAATCGACCTTCAGCGGCTTAATGCTGCTTTGTTTACTATGGTAAGTGTAGAGAACCATAGCCCCTTTTTACAGAAAACATGACATTCCATCTTAGTCCTTAGGGGTGACATATCTGCATTTTGATCGAAGATAGACGTTTGTTAGCTCGTTTGTGATTCTTATTCAGTTTTTGTAGAGTTACAAATGATAGTTTCATTGAGGTAGTAAGACGATGGAAATTTTCTTAAGGAAAAGAAAGTAAAACGACAAGTCTAATAAGAATAGAAGGGGAGTTGGAGGCGAAACTTAATGAGCATTCAGGATGTGTGCTTAGCAGTAATGGTAGATGTGACAAGGATATATATAGAACGAAGAGTGAAATCACGACACAGATTGAAAGGAACTCTTCATTTTTGCAATATCTTGGGATTGAATGAAAGATGTCTTTCTCGTAACGGCTTTAATGGCGGACTGAGCGGTGACGTTACAATAATTAACAAATACCTTACACCTCCAGCCTTAAATATCTACATAATTATATAGCAATGAACTTAATAACTAGTTTTAAACTTATAATTTAACTAAGTATACCATTAATCTAACATTGGAATTTAATTACGGGTTTTCGGATTCGCCTGGAACGGTGGAGGAGTGGCGGGGCCTGGTACAGTCTCGCTGGGACATTGCGTATCTGCCACGTGCTCGGTATCCACGTCATCTTGTCCAGCCGAAACCGCCACCTCCGTTTGCAACTCTGAAGACGCATCTGCAAACTCATCCTCATCCTTTTCATCGACCTCATTAGTGATATCTGGACAGGTAACATCGGATAAGCGCGACCTACGTCTTATTTGATCAATATGTCTTTTAATAAGTCGACCGTCACCATTGTCGAGAACGTATCTTCCAGAACCTTCTTTCTGGGCTACCGTGCCCTTGACCCATTTATCCCGGGTGCCGTAGTCCCTACTCCAGACGGTGTCTCCCAAAAAGAAATTACGCGGAACACCACCCGCATATTCGACTTGACGCTGCTGAGCATCGAGCACACGCGCTTGCACCACGTACCCACCGCGAAGTAAATCCAACCGTGAACGCAAGGAACGTCGCTGCAGCAGCATCGCTGGGCTCTCACCCGTGGTGCTTTGCTTACTGTTGCGATAGCTTAGTAAAAAGGTTTGTAGGGCGGTATCAATATCTACGTCATCCCTATAAGCCTTTTTAATTGCCCTCTTACACAGCTTAACAGCATTTTCCGCTGCCCCATTAGATGCAGGGTGGTACGCCGGTGAAAACCTTTGCTGAATGCCATTATTTTTCAAAAAACTTTTAAATTCAATACTTGTGAAAGGCGGTCCCTGGTCAGACACTAGTTCTAAGGGCAAACCGAATCTTGCAAATATTGACCTCAGCACCTTAACAATGGAAGTCGCATTCGTTCGCGCTACTTCAATAATTTCAAGCCATTTCGAGCTCGAATCTATTAAAACTAAATAAGTTTTACCTTTATACGGTCCTAGGAAGTCTATGTGAACTCTAGACCAGGGAGGCAAGTAGGGCCAGGGGTTAGGAGGCGCGCGCGGTCCGCCTCAGAGGCGCAGGTCTCGCAGCTTCGGCATAGCGCTTCCACATCCGCATCGATGTTCGGCCACCACACATAACTCCGTGCCAGCCCCTTAGTTTTCACAATACCCATGTGGCTGCTGTGTAGTTGTTTTAAAATAATTGGACGTAAATATGAAGGTATTACCATTCTATACCCCCACATAATCGATCCGTTATCTAAATATAGTTCGTTGCGCCTAACAAAATAAGGTTTAACCTCTTCACCAGGGCAAACTGTCGGCCAACCCGATTTGATATAGGCGAAAATTCTACTAAGAATAATATCCTTTGAAGTCGCCTTCGTAACATCCTCATTAGTAACCGGTAAAAAATTTTCAACGAAGTTAATATAAGTAATTTCTCTATTTATCGTTTTTTTATTATTAGGAGAAATTGGTAATCTTGATAAACCGTCGGCGCAATTTTTATTAGACGTTACGTATTCGATATTGTAGTCGTAACCAGATAAAAGTACGGCCCAACGTTGGATACGTGTAGCGGCCATAACCGGTATTCCCGTTTTTTTACCGAATATGTGTGTTAACGGTTTATGGTCCGTACGCAATATGAATTTTCGCCCATAAAGGTACTGATGATATTTTCTTACACCGAACACAATAGCGAGCGCCTCCCGATCGATCTGCGAGTAGGCTCGCTCTGCAGCCGTGAGCGAGCGCGACGCATACGCCACCGGCCGCTCGCCCTCTGGCGTCAGGTGCGAGATCACTGCACCTACACCCACGCTACTCGCATCACACGTCAGCACAATAGGCAAATCGCTAGAGTAATGCATTAGAATTTTACTAGAACTCAATAGTTCTTTTACCTTTTTAAAGGCTCTTTGACAATCGTCACACCAATCAAATTTTATTCCCGTACGCAATAAATTATATAAGGGTGCGAGAATAGTGCTGATATTTTTTACGAATTTTGCATAATACATTATCATTCCTATATAGGCCCTTAACTCAGACACGTTCGTAGGAACGGGGGTGTCTACTATTGCCTTAATCTTATCCGGACAAGTGTGAATACCATCCTTACTAATTACATAACCTAAGTAATTGACTGATTCAGCAAAAAATACACACTTTTCCTTTTTAACTCGAAGTCCGTACGACTGCAAACGGTCAAATACTTTATGTAAATTACTAATATGCTCCTCTGTGTTGCGCCCTGTAATAATTATACCGTCCAAAAATACGCCTACATACGGTAGATTAAATAATTGCTCTAAATGTTTTTGAAAAATGCCAGGGCTTGATGATAAGCCGTATACTAAGCGGTTATACCTAAACAAACCTTTATGTGTGTTGATCACCGTATATTTGGCAGATTCGTCCAGTACAAATTGTGCGTAAGCTTGTGAAAGGTCAATTTTACTGAACCTCTGCCCCCCTTGTAAACGTACCAGTAAGTCTTCTACTCTAGGCAAAGGATAACGGTCGACTTCTATGACTTTATTTAAAGTTAACTTATAATCGGCGCAAATCCTAATGTTACCGTCTTTTTTCACTACGGGCACAATGGGAGTCGCCCAGTCGGAGCGGTCGACGGGTGTGAGAATACCGTCCGCCACCAGCTGCTCGAGTGCGCGCTCCACGGGTGCACGCAACGCATAAGCCAGCGGACGCGCTCGCATGAACACGGGCTGCGCTCCCTCCCGCACACGGATGCTCACCGGCGGCCCAGTGAACCGTCCCAGGCCGTCCGCGAACACCTTACAATATCTGGAACTGAAATCGTTTAAGTTAAAAACATCATTCGATAAACAGTTTAAGCTTCCAAATGGGGGTAACTGTATATTGAGTTCTGCCAACCATTGTCTGCCTAACAATATACTTTTACCATTTTTAATAACATATAAATCGAGATGCTTTTCTTTATCTTTGTACTTTACTAAAGGCCTTATCACACCTACAGGTTTCACTTGTTCACCCGTATAGTACCTTAGCAACAAAGGACACATATTCAGTTTTAGGTTACTGAATTGTTGTTTATATAACTCGTAGCTAATACATGAAACGGCACTGCCTGTATCACATTCCATTTGAACATCCCTACCGTGTACTGTTAATGATATAAACAATGGTTTGTAATGACTAACGCTTAATTGATTAATGCAAACCATTACCTCGTCACTTCCTTCACTGTTTAATAAACTGTCAGTCTCACTCTGCACCACGTTGAGGCTGTGTTGTCCTGCTAGATAAGGACACATCCTTTGTAAATGCCCTTGTTTATTGCACACTCGACACACGTAGCGAGCAAACTTGCAGGTCACTACATCGTGTGCATTACCGCACGCACGACACTCGCGCTGGTGTCGTCGTCGATCATCCAGCACCGATGTTGATACCCTCGGCCCGGTGGGCGTTGCTGCTGCTATCCTGGATGCTCTGCCACGCATCCTGACCTCGCCCTTACTGCCCGCGCGCCGCTCGCCGTCACAACCGATCGCGCGCCCGGTCCGTCTTGTACTGACCATCGCGTAGCAGTTTGTGGATGCGCTCGAGTCTCCAGATATTTTCGGATGCACATCGACGCTGGCTGCATCCTTCTCCGCCGCCTCCATACTCACGGCTAATTGATAAGCCTTGCCAAAGTCTAGTTTGCTTTCGGCAAATAATCTCTGCCGAATTGTTTCACTACTGATACCGCATACGAACTGATCGCGCAAACTTTCTTGCAACCAGCTACCAAACTCGCAAGTTTTCGACATTTTCTTTAGGTCCGTTACATATTCTGATATACTTTCACCGTCCCTTTGTTTTCTTTGTCGGAATTTAAATCTTTCCGCCAGCTCGCTGGGTTTTGGTTGAAGGTAATTTTCCAAAATTTTTGTTAGTTCTAAAAACGTTTTTGATGTGGGTTTTTCCGGGGTACACAAACTCACGAGTAGTTCATAACTCTCCGCCCCCATAACCGTGATTAATGTAGGTACATGTAGCTCACTTGATATTTTGTTCACAACAAAGAATTGTTCGAGCCTTTCCACATATAGTTTCCAATTGTCTGTGGCCACTTTAAATTCCGATATTTTACCAATCGACATGGTTTAGGCCGGTTAGCTTATACACACGCGAACTTTTACGATATATATTTATTTTTCTTTTCTTTTTTCTCTCGTCGCCAATGCAATATCTTGGGATTGAATGAAAGATGTCTTTCTCGTAACGGCTTTAATGGCGGACTGAGCGGTGACGTTACAATAATTAACAACAACTTACAATTTTATCGCGTGAAGTCAGAAACTGATCACTTAAGTTCGCAGTTGTATCGCTTCGAAGTATTCGCTTATATCGCCAATTCAATACTGCCTCGGTCGCATTCTATACCGGCCTTATATAGGGCCTCAAGCAGTTTCCAGAACCTTCTTCTATAGAAACATCTACAATGTTCGAGTACATATCGGTACCGATATTTCTAGAAGGATCTTGGATCTCTCCTAGTTCTGCTACTCGATACTAGAGGGTGATAGTGGTAACTAGTGTTGCCATGTACAAGACATTAATAGTGGCACGCAACAATATCATTGATATTTAGAAGAAACAGCGTTGGAGATAGCACGCAGCCTAGTGGAACACCAGCGTTAATGGGCTTGTAATCGGAGCATGCACCGTCTACTACGACCTTGATGCTCCGATCTGCAAGAAAACTGGTGATCCAATTGCACAATTTCTTGAAAGCCCATAGGAAGGCAGCTTCGAAAGAAGTGATTTGTGGCAAACCCGATCGAAAGCCTTCGCTATGTCCAAACTAACGGCCAACGCCTCCCCCTTGGACTCCACTGCCTCGGCCCATCTATGAGAACCTAAAAGATCACCAGCTAAGCGACTTCGATGGAAACCGTACTGGCGGTCACTAATCAGCTGGTGATCCTCAAGGTACTACATGAGCTGGCTGTTAATAATGGTTTCCATTACTTTGGAGAACAAGGAGGTGATAGCGATAGGCCTGTAGTAGGAAGGATCTGAGCGGTCGGCTTTTTTAGGGATCGGAGCTGTCTTACATTACTTTTTAGTTGGTAGAGCCACGCGGCGGCTTTTGCTGTCGCACGGGTGGGCCGGCTCGAACCGGGGTGGTACCACGACCTCACAGAATACCAACGTGAAGTAGAGGTTTACCTCTGCGTTTCGCTTGGTGAGTGCAGGTGGCCGGAGGCCCTTTTTACTGGAAATGAGGCATTCCATCTTAGTCCTCACGGGTGACAACGCATCTGCATTTTGATTCGCAAACGAGGATAGATGTAGATGTCTATGGGCCGCAGCAACCACTTACCATCAGGTGGACTGTGTGCTCGTTTGTCACCCTTATCTTATAAAAAAAAACATGAGTTCGGGACTACGCCTAGGGAGTAGGAGTACCTGAAAAGACGCGTTAAAACCGGTGCCAACTCCGGAGCACACGTCTTCAGCACAATAGGTGGGACTCTATCAGACCTACTCGACTTGTTGACGTCCAGGGAGAGGAGTGCTTTACGCACCGAGCGCTGTGTAAACAGCACTTCCTGCATGAAGCACTCACACCGCAGGATATTTTGCGGTGTGTTCCCCCCGTCATCTAGAGTCGAGTTGTAAGCAAAAAGAGAGCCTAGCAGATCGGCTTTCTCTTTTGCGTCATGGGCCAGTCAGTCGTCCACCCTGTGCAAATATGGCAAAGATTGCTGACAGAAGTTCCCTTGGACAGCCTTGTCGAGAGACCAGAATGCACGTGTTCCCGAAGGGAGGCGAACGAACTAGTTTCTCGCCAATTCTGCCGATGTGCTCTGATTTTGCCTTGGCAATGACACTTTTGAAGGACCTGG